AAGCCCCAGCATAAACTTAAGAAGCCTACCGCCTGTATGGTCGCTACGAGCTCTAACTTAGGGTTTCTGACTTGACCCTGCACGGGAGCAAGTCGTCGCAGATGTCGTAGTCTTTTCAGACAACCGCGAAGCCCTATGCATGTATGGCCTTTGCCACGCTATAGTTGAACTGAAGAAAGGTGTTCCGGAGGTATGAGACCCTAAACCCTAAACCCTACGGCACTACTACCCATATTGCGCCTAACGTCGGTGAGGCAGGCAACTGCACCTACTCTGAGAGTACGGGCACAGGAGATTCCACGACTCAATCTGCGGATTTATGGAGATTGCTCAGTGGCTCAGAGTAGCGGCATCCAGGATGCTACTACCAGCAAGAAAGGCTACCATATCAAACAAAGATCTTAAAACTGATCTTAGCTGTTGCTACACCCTGAATCCTACTAAACCCTTCGACCCTGCTACAGAGAGCAGCAGCCCTAAACGCCATGCCTTTCCCAAACCCTAGAAAAGCCCAGAGTCCCCCCAGAGGGCCAAAAAGAATAACTCCGGGCCCTCGAGGAATTATAAGGGAAACTGCAGGTGGGGAGTTTAGGGTATTTTGGGGCTTCTATAATAAGGCTTCTATAAGGTATATAGACCTTCTACAAGGCTGCTATAACGGTAACTACCCACCTGAAAATGTCCTGGAAGGTATGACCAGGCCGAGGCCATCGCAGGTATGGCTGTGCAGGCTGGCGGGCCTCGCGAGCTTGCAGAGGGTTTCTGGGTTAGGATTTATGGCTTGTAGGGTTTAGGGTTTAGGATTTAGGGTTTAAGGTTTAGGGTTTAGGGTTTAAGGTTTAGGGTGTAGGATTGCGTAATGAAGGGATCTGAATAGTTCATTTTTTCTCTCATTACTATTCCTTACGCCTCCCTATTCGAAATTTGTTCACGGTATACAAAGAACCGGAATCCCGAATTTAGCCCCGAATCACTAATAAACCCTCGCGGCTTAGGGTTTATAGGGTTTCATTAGGGTTTAGGGGCTAAAATTCAGAGGAGATATTGGAGCAACGCCCTCTGCTGGATCCATTGGTGGACTGGGACACGCGGAGGCCGGCCCAGTTTTGTCTGGCGAGGTTTGAGGGATACCTACGTACTTCAAGATAATCCTTATATGGTATATGTTCAGTAATTATGATAAATTCATATCCCCGTACTAGTCCCTAGTACATGATTAGTCTCTTTGCTGAACCAATATGCCCCTGGTAGTCTTTTGCACCGTGCCAGCTGCACGATCTGCCTTCACATTGTGGGTATCATCTGGAGATCTCTATAGTTTGCTGGGCATACAGTCAGGGCATCGTTGAGCTTTTGACATCTTTGACTCCTGTCCGTCGGAGCGCTCATAGTCATGCAACGTTGGGCCAGCGCGCATTATGCAAGGAGTAGAGTAAGCCTATGAGCTCTAAACCCCAAACCCTAAACCCAAAACCCTATACCCTAAATCCTAAGCCCCACCCTAATCCCTAAACCCTAAACCCTAAGCCCCACCCTAACACCCTAAGCCCCACCCTAAACCCTAAACCCTAAGCCCCACCCTAATCCCTAAAACCTAAGCCCCACCCTAAACACGAAACCCTAAGCCCCACCCTAAACCCTAAAGCCTAAACCCCAAACCCTAAAGCCTAAACCCGAACCTTTGGGGTATGTCGCCGTCTTTGCTCTCAGGCCGCAGGCTGCCCCTGACACTGGAGGCCGGGAGGTTAGGTCTTCCCGGGTAGAGGGTTTAGGGGGGTGAGGGTCTCTTGGTGTAGGGTGTAGGGGGTTGAGGGTTTAGGGGTTTAGGGTTTAGGATCTCTTGGTGCAGGGTGTAGGGGTTTAGGGCTTAAGGGGTTTAGGGGGTTTAGGGGGTTTAGGGTTCAAGGTTTAGGGTTTAGGGGTTTAGGTTTTCATGGATTGGGGGTTTAGGATTTAGGGGTTAGGGGGTTTTTGGGTTGTAGGGTTTACGGTGCCTGGTGGAGGGGCAAGTGTTGATGGTATGATGCACAAGGACTTTGGAAGAGGTTATATTGAATGACTACGACTAAAACCCCGTGTATATATTCATAAGTATTCTGATCGTTTAAGCTGTTTTGGTTCCATACTAACCTGAGCCCTACACTTTTAGACGGTACCCAAGAGGTGACTGGTGTGGCTGCAGCAGCATTGCCGTTGCACGCTGACGACCTTCCTGTCGAGAGTGGCGGGAGGACTGCAGTTTAGGGCTTAATAAGGCTTAGGGTTTAGGGTTTAGGGTTTTTAGGAATAATATGCTTTTTTGGTCCCGAATCTAGGTTTGCTACAATATTGCGCCGCGGAACTCACTCTAGTTTGCCAAAAGGGTCCAAGTATCTGACCACAAAGATTTTCAGTATCATATACCATAATTCCCATAGTTTAAGGCCCTTAAGGTAATGCAGGATGTTTATAAGTTAGAATTGAATCTTAAACCCTTCATGCAGCTAGGAGTAAGCTTTGGACGCTGCAGCTCGAAAAGAGTGGACGATGGCAGATGCTGGCGAGCGCGGTGCTTTCGACTTGGTGCCTCTCACGTTCCTTGTGCCACATGGGCTCCTTTAAGGGCTCCTTAACCCTTAGCATCAAAATTAAATAGCCCAAAAAAGCCTTATACAATACGGTCTTTGGGGCCCAAAAAAGCCTGAAAATATGAGACCTTTCGGCTATAAGGGTTAAGGGCTTAAGAAGTTTAGGGGGTCAGGGTCGACTTGGGGAGTGGCCTCACTTGGAGTTGTTGTAGTTCTTTAGAGCCTGGCTTATGAAGAACGCTAAACCCTAAACTATAAACCCTGAACCCTAAACCCTAAACCCTAAACCTTTAGAGCCTGGCTTATGAAGAACAGACTTACTCCGTCCCCTGAACCTGTAAGTAGAGGTCTTAGCATTCCTTGATTCCTGGTTCTCGAGCCTAGTTGTTTTGGTCACCTTGACCTTCAAGGGAGTTCGGTTCTAGGGCCTACCTATAGTCTCCATTGTAGTTCCTTTTTGGGGTTACCTTTTAGGATCCTTAATATAAGTTCCCACCACTCTTTTTGCCCTGCCTGGAAGCCGCCCGGCAAAACCAGGCGAAACCTTTGTTTTGTGGTTTAGGGTTCAGGATTGGCGGTTAAGGCTCCTAGGGGCTGAGTAGGTAACCTTTTACCTTTTGGGGCTAATATGATCCTACTATAATTCAATAGGTTAACCTTTTTTGGGCTAAGGTACTCGGCCCCTAAGGGTTTATGTTCGTCGTTTTCGGAAACTCCAAACGATTGCTGGAGTCCTGTGGTGCTCGGACCTGCATGCAAACGGCCAGGTTTTCACGACCTTGTTGTAAACAACTCCTGTTCTCAAAACTCTGAGGGTCCATGCGCCCATACTATGAGTATATAGTTGGGCCTTAAAGTAGCCCCTTTATCGGTACTTCAGGAACAAAGTATCTGCAGTGCCGGTACATGGGCCCTTAGGGAAACACTCCGAAACCTGAACACTAAACCCTAAACCCTAACACCTCTAAATCCTAAGGGTCCATGACCTATATCGGGTATACTTAGGCCCCAAAGGGTTTCTATGTAGGCACTATATGGTTGATAATACGAATCCTGCAAAAAACATAATAAGGTGTATGCCATAATTCCCATAGTCTAGGGTCCTTAAGGTAATGCAGGATTCATATCATCAACAGTAGGTACTTTTGGGCCAAAGTTGGTTCATGTTTATTCTCTAGAAGTGCATCAACAACTGGGGTTGTGAACCCCCACGGTACACCCAAGCAGCTAAGCAAGTTAGAAACCGGATTAAGGACAATTAGTGCTGGGATTCCCTGTGCATTCTTGTTAAGGCTGGTAAGGGTTGAGGCTATTGAAATTCTAGCTTTTTGGGCTTCTACGGTAGACCCTAAAAGTCCTGTTTGTCAAAACGTCACCCTAAACCCTAAAAAACCCTAAACCCTAAACCAAGGTGGAACGTGGCGCCAGCCCTCGAAGCAGAGTCGCCGCTCCCCCCCACGCTCACGAAAGAAAGAGTTTCAGCGCGCAAGGGCTGGGTTCGGAGGGGTTTGGGGTTTAGGGGTTAGGGATTTAGGGTTTAGGGGGTTTAGGGGTTTAGGGTTTAGGGTTTCGGGTTTAGGGTTTAGGGTCGGAGGGTTAGGGGTTTAGGCATTCATAGGGTTCAACGATCAGGGTGATAAGAATTTTGGGGTTGAGGAAAGGATCCTCATTATTGCATTATCATTCTGGGTGAGGGAATAGGGTTGGTTAATCAGTGGTGTAGGATACATTTTCCAGGTTTGGGGATCTGTGCATCGGAGCAGTGTCAAACATTCGAAAAGCATATGCTTCAACATTGTTACTACGGTTGATGATATAAATCCTGCATGACCTTAAGGACCCTAAACTATGGGTACCATTTCTTATTATGGGTAATGCAGGATTTATATCATCAACCGTATCGTCCCTATTTTCGATTACATATTATCGCTACCATTCCTATTCTCATTATGTTATCAACTAACTCCGAGCCAGAAAACCCTACCCCATGGGCCCTACATCCCAGCCAATATCCCAGCCGTGAAACCGAAGCCCTACGCTACACCCCCACGAACTCCCCCAACCCCTCTAAACTCAAGCCATGCGAAACTCCAAGAGCTTTGGCTGCTCAGCAAAACCCCGAGGACCCTGCTGACCCCAAAGCCAAACAACCTAAGACCCCCTACAACATGCCTACAGCCCCAAATGGCATAGAGAACCCCTAGACCCCTAAACCCCGAAACCCCTAAACCCCTAAACCTAAACCCTATAAACCCCCAAACCCTATAAACCCTAAACTCCGAAACCCCGAAGCCCCTAAACCCTACAAGCCCTCCAAACCCTAACCCAAAACTCCGAGAACTCCCTAAACCCTAAACCCAAACCCTAGAAACCCTAACCCAAAACTCCGAGAACTCCCATGAAACATCGCCGTGTTTTGCCTTGCCTGGGGAGGCTCGGAGCACTCCCGGCGATCATGGACGCCAAGCGGATGAAGGTGCCTGTCGAGGCGCCTCTCTGGGGATGTCAGGGTGTCAGGGTTTAGGGTTTAGGGATGTTTAGGGTTTAGGGGTTTAGGGTTCAGGGTTTAGGGTTTAGGGTCTAGGGTGCAGGGTTTTAGGGTTCGGGGTTTAGGGATGTTTAGGGTTTAGGGTTGAGGGTTTAGGGTTTAGGGGAACCCCCGCCCCCCCCCCCCGCTGTGGAAGAGGACTGGTATTGAAGCCCCCATATATATATATATACACACACACACACACACGCGCCTCGGAGGCTTCATGGACCCCTTCACCCCAACTGCCCTTGTCAAGATTGATGTTTAGGCCCCAAACATACATGCTCGGTTGGTATTCCAAGTCTTTGGTTAGGTTTCATGCACATGGTTTTCGCATGTCTGGAGTTCGAGTTTCAGGGGGCTTGCAACCAGTGCTTTGCGCAGCTTCGGGGCTCGACCTGAAACAACATATTGAGTGAAGACCGAACGGCCAACGCAGCATAGCCACTTCTCCACAGAATGAGGATGTAGGACAAGGGCCTGCCAACATCCTCAGCATGTTCCCAGACTCTAAACCTTGTAAGAATCGCGCCATGCGGCGAAGCTTGCGCTTTGGGGTCCGAGTCCCTTCCGAAGAGCGCTAGACATGCTGCGCATTCGCAGAGTGTCCGGTGAAGAGCTCTGTGCTCTTGACCTGACGAGCTTTCACGCGACGCTACCTGGGAACACAATTCGGGCATTGAAACAACACTTGCACAGAAAATGCGGGCTGCCAAGGTTCAGGCAAAGGCTGGTTTATCTGGGTGATGATTCCGCTCTAGCTGACGACTGCATCTTGAGAGCCGGCGAAGTTCAGGTCCTCCTTCTAAACTTTTGCCCAGCAGCTACAGCGCAAGTGACGGCGCTTTGGTTTGCTGCAAAACACGGCCACACATCAACAGTAGAGAATCTGCTCCAGAGACCAACAGACCCAGATTCAGCATGTGTGGGTCGTCCAACCCCGCTGTGGGTGGCATGCGGGCGGGGCCACCTCGAGGTGGCACGCTTGTTGCTGGAGGCCAATGCGGATAAGGATAAAGCCCAGCAGAATGAGAATGGCTCCACTCCTTTGTTCATCGCAGCTCACTATGGACAGTTGGAGGTTGCACGACTTTTGTTGGAGGCCAAGGCGGATAAGGACAAGGCAGTGGAAGATGGCACCACGCCCTTGCACATCGCAGCTCAGAAAGGACAGTTGGAGGTTGCACGGCTTTTGCTTGAGGCCAATGCAGATAAGGATAAAGCTAAGCAGAGTGGCACCACTCCTTTGTTCGTCGCAGCTCATACCGGACAGTTGAAGGTTGCACGGCTTTTGCTTGAGGCCAAGGCGGATAAGGATAAAACTAAGCAGAATGGCTCCACTCCTTTGTTCGTCGCAGCTCAGAGTGGACAGTTGGAGGTTGCACGGCTTTTGCTTGAGGCCAAGGCGGATAAGGATAAAGCTAAGCAGAATGGCTCCACTCCTTTGTTCGTCGCAGCTCAGACTGGACAGTTGGAGGTTGCACGGCTTTTGCTTGAGGCCAAGGCGGATAAGGACAAGGCAGTGGAAGATGGCACCACGCCCTTGCACATCGCAGCTCACAAGGGACAGTTGGAGGTTGCACGGCTTTTGCTTGAGGCCAATGCGGATAAGGATAAAGCTAAGCAGAGTGGCACCACTCCTTTGGTCGTCGCAGCTCATACCGGACAGTTGGAGGTTGCACGGCTTTTGCTTGAGGCCAAGGCGGATAAGGATAAAACTAAGCAGAATGGCTCCACTCCTTTGTTCGTCGCAGCCCAGAAAGGACAGTTGGAGGTTGCACGGCTTTTGCTTGAGGCCAAGGCGGATAAGGATAAAGCTAAGCAGAATGGCTCCACTCCTTTGTTCGTCGCAGCTCAGACTGGACAGTTGGAGGTTGCACGGCTGTTGTTGGAGGCCAAGGCGGACAAGGAAAAGACATTGGAAGGTGGCGCCACCCCTTTGTACATCGCAGCCCAGAAAGGACAATTGGAGGTTGCACGGCTTTTGCTTGAGGCCAAGGCGGATAAGGACAAGGCAGTGGAAGATGGCACCACGCCCTTGTACATCGCAGCTCAGAATGGACAGTTGGAGGTTGCACGGCTTTTGCTTGAGGCCAATGCGGATAAGGATAAAGCTAAGCTGAATGGCACCACTCCTTTGTTCGTCGCAGCTCATACCGGACAGTTGGAGGTTGCACGGCTGTTGCTTGAGGCCAAGGCGGACAAGGAAAAGACATTGGAAGGTGGCTCCACCCCTTTGACTTTGTACATCGCAGCTCAGAAAGGACAGTAGCAGATTGCACGGCTTTTCCTGGAGGCCAATGCGGATATGGACAGGGCATGGGAAGAAGGCGCCACTCCTTTGTTCATCGCAGCTCAGGATGAGCCCTTCGGGACCTTGACAAAGCCTTAGAAGGATCTTGGAAAGACTTCAAGAACCCTATGAAAGACGTACCAAAAGCTGTAGACCTGTTCAAAGCCTCATGAAACGTCAGCAAGAAAGCATAAACTCCATCTTCCCCTAGGGCTCCAGTTACCTAAATAGTAGGTTACTGGGGTACATAACGGTCAGTAACCCACTATTTAGGTAACTCGAGCCCTAGGGTTTGACATGAACGTTAATCCTGCATGCGGAAGCTCAGGCTGCCGATCCCTGACATCCTCAAGCTGCGAAGCCGGAAACCCCTAAACCCCTAAACCCTAAACCCCTAAGCCCTAAGCCCGAAACCCCTAAACCCTAAACCCCTAAACTCCTAAACCCCATAACCCTGAACCCCTAAACCCCTAAACCCTGAACCGAAGCCCTTACTTGGGCAAAAAAGCCTACCCGAAACAAGAAGTTTGCCTTCATGGTTTCTGATACCCAAGAACAAACAGGTCCCAAAGTCCTAGAACAGTGAGTCCTTGGACCCATAGTGTAACTTAGGGTAGTGCTCTAAGAGGTCATACTCTACAACTGAAGTTTAGGGTGTAGGGTTTAGGGCTTAGGCTTCTACTAATCACCAGGGCATTGCATGGATGACATGGAAGCCCTATACCATATTCATGCGTCCTGATCGTTTATTTCTTATCCCCTGCTCGAAAGACGGGCGGACTTCGCAAGTTACTTATAAGTTACTCCGTATGGGTGTTCTAGTGTTTGTAAGCTTACTTATGCCATGACCCATGCTCAGTCACTTCGAACATAGAGGCATCGTGTTCGATAGTATCGCCGTATGGCCACAATAAAGTCATTATTATCCTTCCAGGATTTAGCCCCAACTTCCGTGGAAAAATTCACGAAACTGAACTATTCGAACCATAAAGCCTGAACCCTAAACACTAAACCCTAAAGCATGAACCCTAAAAAAGGTAAGCTCTAAAGACTTACAACCCGAAGCCTCCATCCTTCAGCCCTGTAAATCCTGAACAGTTCATGCCTGAAGCCCTGAAAGCACGACTTCTATGAACCCAAAAACCCTCTAAACCCTATAAACCCTACAAGCCCTCAAGCCTAAAGCCCTGAAGCCTTAAGCCCTAGAAACCTAAAACCCTAAAGCCTAAAGCCCTGACACCTTAAACCCTAGAAACCCTAAAACCCTAGAGCCCTGAAGCCCTGAAACCCCTAGAAACACTATAGACATCGCATTCTAAACCCTAAACCTAAGCCCTAAACCCCTAAACCCCTAAACCCGAAACCCTAAACCCTAAACCGCTATCTCAGACACCCCGCGACTGGGGAGCGGAGCTCGCGCAGGCTGGCTGGAACTCTCCCAGACGACGAGATATAAGTTGTACGGCTGATGATCTAAATCCTGCACTATTTTAAGGACCCTAAATACTAAACTATGGGAATTATGGCATATGCCTTATTATGGGTAATGCAGGATTTATATCATGAACAGTAGGACTGTCGGGTATGTGCACGCCCAATCCGTCTAAATTCCGTTAGTAAATATAAGTCTTCAAGTATAGTCAGACCCCTAATGATTTTTCGGGCAATTCCTTAGTGTAGGGGTTTTGGATGGTCTGGGCGGATAGTGTGCAATTAGCTGGAGGGGTGGATTGCTTGGGCTATTGGGGCTGGGTTCTGAACCCCAGAATCCCTACAACACATTGGTTTTGAGGAGGTTGCATTGGAATGGAGATGCTTTGCAAGGAGCCTTAGGGCAAGAGGCAACATACGGTTGAGGATATTAATCTGCATTAAACATCGCAAGGAATGTACCACAATTCCCATAGCCCAGGTAATGCAGCATTTATATCATCAGCAGTAGCGATCAGGAAGATTTTTGTTTTCTTTTTCGGGGGGGGGGGTGCTTCTAAGCATTCAGGATGGCTGTGGACGGTTTAGGGTTCAGGGTGTGGGGCTTAGGGTTCAGGGTTTAGGGTTCAGGGTTTAGGGTTTAGGGGCTACAAGGTTTATAATTTAGGGATCGCGTTTCTAGGGACCTGGACTGTTAGAATTGTGAACGGGTGCAGGTGCTGCGACTTGGGGGGGGGGGGCCTACATGCCAACTTTACCCTACAACCTAGACCCCCAAACCCCTAAACCAAGCACCCAACATCCTCAACCCTACACATCCCTACACCCTTAATGCTAAACCCTAAACCTAGACCCCCAAAACCCTTAAACCCCTAAGCCCTATACTGAACCTCATATCAAGACAGACCCTAAACCTAGACCCCTTAAACCTTTAAGCCCTACACCCTAAGCCGGCTCTTTGAACCCCAAAACCCCACATCCTAATCACTGCAGAGGGCCAGTACCCTAAACCCCTAAACCCTACACACGACATCCTAACCCCTAAATTCCTAACCCTCCATCCCAAACCCTACCAGAGGGCCAGTACCCATAGGCCCCTAAGTAGTTCCTTTTTGGGACTACCTTGTAGGATTCAAAATCTCAACCATAAAAGGAACTGCTTAGGGGCCTATTGGTATACCCTACCCTAAACCGTAACCTTAAAGCCTAAAACCTAATGAGGAACTATATATAGAAACCATAATAAGGAACCCTACAAAGGGGTGTGTGTGTGTATATATATATATATATGTATATATAGAAACCATAATAAGGATCCCTAAACAGGTAAAAGGTAGGCCTTTTTAGGGGCCTTTTGGGTAAAAAAAAAAAAGACGAAAGGCGCCAGACCTGGGTCGGGACTCTCTGCGTGCCCGGGGCCCTGGTCGAGAAGATGCCAAGCCTTGGGTTCGGGCGCGCTTTTTTTTTTTTAAGGGCTCAGGGCTTTGGGTTCAGGGTTTAGGGTTAGAAGTTTTTTGGGCTTTTCAAGGGTTCAGAGTTTAGCCGAATTTTTTAGGGTTCAGAGTTTAGTCGTTTTTTTGTGTTTGTTTAAGAGGTTTCAGAATTTAGTCGGTTTTTGTTTTTTTAAGGGTTCAGCGTTTAGTTGGTTTTCTTTGTTTTGGGTTTAGTTTTTGTTCTGTTTCTGCTTCAGTTTTACAGTTTTGGGTTTTGAAGGGTTTGGGGGTTTGGGGAGAGCCTCCTCTAAAGGCTTCTGTAATTTCTACGGGCTACTGTAAGGGCTGTTATCAAACAAGTTATTATAGCAAGCGTAGCATAGCCGCTTTATTAAGTGGAAAAAAAAGGTCTTGGGGTATATTGCGCTGCAAGTGTACGAGGGACCTTTAAGAATGGTACTGGCAATTATGCAGGCTTCTATGTTATGGGTTTAGATGGGTTTAGGGTTGTGCCGTTTAATTACTGCGCTGCATCAGATACCCTACACTGCTAAACCTTGTCATTCCCCTCGATGGTTCGATGAGATCAGCTTTGCTTTTTAAGGGTCGTCTAATAAATCGATATCGGTTCCGCAGGGCCCAGGTATACCCTATGCCATCTGTTTTGTTTACATACACACTGAACTCCACTGGAGTATCCCCCTTGAAGCCCAGCAACCTGGCAATACTTAGTTGTGGCAGATAGTATCTTACAACCCTGTTCTATTGAATAAGGCCCTTCAGTCTCCCTTAGCGCCGCTCTGGTGGCTACTTACCCAAACCATAGTAGAACTTCGCATTATTACCTACTCTCTGCTATGTAATAAGTGCTTGCATGGGTATCAATTCAAGCACACGCTGAATGTACACTAGGGTTTTGGGTTTTAGGGTTTAGGCTTTTGGGGTTTTTGGTTTAGGGTTTTTTTTGGTTTATGGTTTAGGCAGTTATTCATGCCCCTTGGTCGTAGCACATACGCGACATGCACAAAGTATGACTACGCTAGTAGCTGATCTATTAGTATTTATCGATATAACTCTTCACTTTGGAGGGATATATATGCGAAAGTTCATTTTTAGGGGGGGGCATTATTATTGGCCTTATGAACTCGGCAACCAAGCTCAGCTATGTCAATAGTACTTACGTTAGCTATGGTAACCAGGTAACCAAACCCGCAGACCCTCAACACTAAAGCCGCAAGCCTTGCGCTAAAGAGCAGGTAGTGATTGATCAGTCGTTCAGACATCCCACAGATGAGCGGCACAGTTGCAACTCGAATGCGATCTCGAATCGCATCATTAACAACTGGACAGTGGAGGCTGCCCTAGCTCCTTTCTGTCTTGCTAAGTTTGTAGGTCGTTTGCGTTGAGTTTTCTATATCGATACAGCAGCCCAGAGCAAGAGACGACGAGAGCGCACGACTCCAATGCCCGACGCAGAATGAAAGAGAGAGAGCGAGAGAGACAGGGCCAGAGAATGGCTGATGTCCAGAAGGATTGAACCGTACTCCATCACCTACGCTGCACAGCAGCAGCGTAGAATCCTAAACTACACCCGGCTAGCGACAGTACAGCTAGAACGAAAGACCCGCAAATGTGTCATGCTCATCGGGTCAAGTTAAAGCAACACAGGAGCACAGTACCAGGAATTTTTGTGAGAGGTTGCTAACAGCTCATGCTCCATTCTAATGACTCAACTTGTTTGGATGTCGGGATAGTAAAAAGTAGCCATGTATCGTTGTGACAGTGGACACTTTCCAACCAGGACTCTGCCATGAGGGTATTGAAAACACAGCTGTCACCAGGAGGCGTTCCTATCGGGCCCACTTCGTGAAGCAGTTGGCCCAAGAAAGGAACATGATGATGAGGAGGATGACGATGAAGATGACGATGATGATGACGGTGATGATGGTGATAACGACGATTTGGAAACGCCCATGGCGACCCGAACCGCGAACCACACCACACCACAGGGGGGCGGAGGGACTGAGAGCAGAGCCAAACCCCGAACCACACCACAACACAGGGGGGGCGGGACTCCAAGCAG